CGTAGTGACCATCATCCGACGCCTGGCACCAAGTGTTCGAACTTGCAGCAGACATCTGTATCTTTGCGTGCGTACTTCGTCAAACGCTTTATCCCTGAAGAAAGTTTGCTTACGAATTTTGTGTATTTACATGATACCTTGGCACACGAACTCTTGCATAGGTAATGTTGTCAAAGGAACTTTATGCTGACGAGCATTTGTGTACTATTTTTGCGCACCTACACCCGACATCGGTACGCGACGAGTACGTACTTTTGTCATATGAGCTTCATGCCTGAAAATTGACGTCCGAACATTTGCGTACAAAGTTATTGCTGCCGAACTTTTGCGCTTACGAACAATTTACGACGAACTTTTTCCAGACGAGCAATTTACCATACGAGCTTTACCCTTAACGAACCTTTCACGGTGCGAACTTTTTGCGCTACGAACTGTTTGTGCTACGAGCTTTTGACGTTACGAAGTTCATACTCTACGTAATTTGCCTGGGAGAGCTTAAAGCATACGAGCTTTATCCTACGGACAATTACCATCAGAACTGTTTAATGCGCATTTTTGTCCGCACCTCGGTCGTTGTAGCTTAAACACCCGGACAGCCGCGCAGGGCAAAAGGATGAGGTAGTACCTGCTCACCGAGACCTGGGTCCGTTTCGGACCCAACCGTGGTCTTCAGCGTTATCGCGATTTGAAACTTCGGTGTTTCTGAGTTGAAAGTGACCGTTCTGCCCTGTGTGAAGATGATGAATGACTGACCCAGGCGCTGGGAAGATGATGAAGCGACGATGTCGAAAGCCGAGCGGGGAGAAGAGCAGAGACACGCGAAGCTTCAGTCATGGACCACGTTTAGGTGGAAGATAGATTTGGGTGAGAGGGAAACGGCTCACTCTTTTTACTCTGCCCCACTCTACCCTTCATCGCAAGATGCTCGACGGCTTTCTCCTCTAACCCTACTCTTCCCTCCATTTCAAGATGCCTGACGGCTTCCAATACCTTTCACACAACGCTTTGGTTTGGTCAATGTTTGCGGGACGTCTTCAGCACCATAAGGGCTTAGTTTTGCATTTAACTGACTTCACTGACTAGGCACTCAGTCATGTCTTCATGCGCTGCATCGTGGCGTGACATTGGAAATGAAATTGGATTGGTGTCTGCATTACATAAGGATAACCAAAAGTGATGGATGCTGTATCAAGGCTGGTCAAAGGTGACAAATTGCAATCAAAGTCTCGTGCGTTTCGCAAGTCTGCCTAACCACTTCATGCTCTTGACTTATTCTTAGTGGGTGGGAAGTTTGCTGCGAAAAGGGCACACATCATCTGTGCGAAAATGTAGGCGTAGGCCCAGGCGTACCTGCAGGCCTAGGTGCACTTGCAGGTCTGGATGCACCTGTGAGTCTAGGCGCTCCTTTCAAATCTAAGATGTCGTCTTAAATTTTGTGACCAAGATTTGCCTTCAGTAACGTTGCCAAGTTCTAGAAATGGGCTACTGCAGTAGTGGCGGCCTTGTTTTCACTGACAGGCCTTTTAAAAGAGCATTCAATAATGAATTCCGTCATCCCTGCTCCCTACTAAATTCTGCTATCTCTGGTTAACACTGCTCAGAATCACAATGCCGTGAAATCGTGGGCCGAAGGTTCAACGTGCGTTTTGCTTCCAGTAACCTGAGCTAAGCAGTTTTCCTGCAGTTTTCAGAATGATTAGAAATACAGCCTGCTTTAACCGTTGCCTTGATGTTAACCGTTGTAAAGACTTCCTGCCACTAAGAGGTATGTGTGAACATGTTAAGCTGGAAAGCTTGATTTTAAGAAAATTTAACCATTGATGTGGCATGATGAACTCAATTATTAGTCCAGCAACATGCAAATTATCACCAATCGTCAGCTTTTGTTGAGGCCAATCCACTAGTGTTTTTCGCAAGGGTTCACCAGTGTTTTCTGCAAACTTTCGTGGTTTGCAAACGCCGGGTGTGGCGGGGGGGGGGGGGGCATTGAACCAGATTGGTCAATTTTTGGTCACAGGGTCAGCATCCAAATCGTGAACGGTTTGAAAACTTTCGGAAATTACTTGAATAGGACGTCGCTAATGAATACTCACCTTTGGATTGTTCCAATTTTTAACACAACAGAACGTCTTCATCCATCCTTCATCCGTTCAGCGTTATAGTTGTACACAAACCCTTTGCACGCCGTCGTCGGCGCGGTTCGTGCGATCTGTGCGCGTGACTGGACGCGCGTCCGGGGATGTTTGGCGCCGGCGTGTCGGGCGGAGGCGGCGCCGCCTGCGGCCCTCGCCGTCGCGCGGTGAGACCCGCGCAGCACGGCGTCGCCGTTTCCAGCCTGAGAGTCGCCACAACGCCTATCTATTTCTCTCTACACTTGTCACTCCTTTCAGTCCTTTTCACCTTTCGTTTCTCGGCATTGTCCCTTTTGAATTTGGCCCTTTGCCTGGCGTCGAGACGGTGCGTCTGGGCGAACAAAGCCGTATTCAGGTGCGCAGTCTATTTTTCTTTGGCGGCGACTGCATCGCCATTGGACGGGCGTCACGGCGCGGTCTGCCGCGGCGCCGGCCGCCGCCGGGCCCCTCGGCCCCTTTGTGGCCGGTGCCGCCGGCCGGCCGGGCCCCGCCCCCCGTCAGCCCCCCGCCGGGGCCCGGCCGGGACCCGTGACCTGACCCGGGCCCCCGCCGAGAGGGCCGGCCGGCATCACTAAATCAGCGCAACGTCAGACGCAAATGATAGATAAATATAGCGGCCGCGGTCCCGGCCGACGCGCGCGCCGCCAATGAACCTGTCCCGTTTTGTTTTCGGCCAGCCGGTCGGGTGCGAGGGACGGTGCCGCCCGGCGGGGGTGCGGTCGCCGTGTCGAACGGGCACGGCTCTCCACAATCAGTCTTTCAGTGTGTCGTTAGGGCCGATTCTGTGCGACTCTCAGGGGCCAGCCCCCTGTTTTTGTCACCTGTGAGCTACGGCCGCCGGCGTCGGCTTTGCCGAGCCGGTTCCAGGCGTCCGTTTTCGGGTGAATGCTTTTTTGCGCAACATTTAGATACAGTTCTGCATGTCAGAACCTGAGTAGCTACCCACCGTTCAGGATAGACTAGTTCCTGTAAAAGACAGACGTGTTCAGACGCTTGGCAAGCAGCATTGCCGGCACCAGACGACCATGGACCCAAAGGTGTATCCCATGACCCAATTTATTTCAAAGTATTTAAACCAAGCATACAAACAGCTCTAATCTTTAATAATGTTCTTGGCAATCGCCTTTTGATTTGCTGTCGGCTGCTTCTCTGCTACTGATCCGGGTCATTACTACAGCAGCTACCCATTGCGCGCCGGTGGTGCCGGCTGGTAATGACCGCCGGTGTATAATATCGCAGTCTGCTGATCAGCTCCCAGCGGGAGCCGGGGCTGCGATCGGCAGGGCGGCTCACTCGTCATGATGCGGCCTGGGCTCCGATGTCGGCCGCGCTGCAGCCTCGCTTAACAGCGTTTCGCGCTGACTCAATGAAAAAAAATGTCGGAAAGTTACATATATTAGCAGAGAAAGATAGAGAGAGTGAGACAGAGAGAGAGAGAGAGAGAGAGAGAGAGAGAGAGGGAGAGAGAGAGTGAGAGAGGGGCATATATATATATATATATATATATATATATATATATATATATATATATATATATATATATATATATACATGCATATACGTACATACAAAATAAATGTGCGTATATGCATATATGCATATACGCATATTTCAGGTCATTTTGTACCGCTTGCACGCACAATTCATACTGAGTGGAGTTCAACTGGTAACGCATACGTATAGGCACGTATGCTAAAGAGTTTTTAGCACTTCTCAATTTCCCACGATACTGGCCTTTGAGCAACGCCTTAATACGTACCTATTGACATACAAGTGGGCAGGCAGGCACCATTCAAAAGATAGTCATCAAAAAAACAAAAAAACAATGTCACGTTAAGTCCAACAGCGCGTCTCAATCACCTGTTTTACTCGCGAGCATCAGCTTACGTGTTCACATTCTACATGCACTACACGGCATACCTCAATATCTTGCAGGTGCTCGAAAAACAGACGAAATTTCAACTGCATTTTTTATCCACAGTGGAAACATCTTTATTCGAGCTGTATGTGGCACAATGCTTGGTTAGTTTTGGTTGTTACGGTAATAGCAAAAATTACCGTTCAAATATGAGGCGCAGGCTTTCGCAGACTGGCTTTAAATCAGCTTTCTGACTTAGAGTGTCCCACACGCCCTCAGATCTGTGCTGGTTATATGTTCCAAATGGAAAGGTCGTAATACATCGTCCTTCATCCTCGTTATTTCCATATAGTATAAGAAATCCTCAAAAGCTAAAGGTCAGACCGCCAGTTTCGTCTCTAGCTGGCTTTTGGCATTTTTCCTGGCTTTTTCACAAGCCTTTCCAGCTGCTCCGTGGACTACGACTGGGAAATAACGTGGCCGAAACTTGCGCAAATCCATTGGCTGAGGAGCCGCCTCAACGTACTGAACTGAGGCCGCTGCGCCGGAGCACAGAACAGTGTTCCGGCACAGCGGCCAGCGCAGTCGATATCAACCGGAAGACTTGATTAGATCAATGCAAAGGAGCACCACGAAGCGTCTTCCATTCGCGCTGCGCCACGAACATGTTCTTTGAGGCCGTCGAGCCGGCGTGATCAAACGAGTCGGGATTCTCCATGACATCGACGCGGCGCCAGCCGAGCGCGGCAGCAGCAGCGGACGGCGGGTCTCCGTGCGGTCCGACTGGGAGCGGCAGTCGTTTTCCAATCATTTCCACCGGCCGTCGAGTGTCGGCGTCCAGCGCGGCTCATCTCCGAGCGCAGGCTCCGCCCACCGCGCGCCCATTGGCCGGCTGGGCTCCAGTTACCATAGTTGCGCGGCGCAGGACGCCGGCGAGACTCCGCCCCCCGGCCGCCGGCGCCGCGGCCGCCGCCACCGCTGGGCGGCCTCAGTGACGCCCGTGTACCGCGAGGGGGAGGGCGCGCGCGCCAGCGAGAGGAGCAGGGAGAGTCAGAGAGCGAGCTCTCGCAGCGCGGTCGGCTGGCTCCTCTTGCACCCCACACAGCCGGAGCAACATGATCACGTGCTGTGCGGCGTGCGACAAGCCAATCCTGGACAAGTTTCTGATGAATGTTCTGGAGAGGACATGGCATGCCGAGTGTGTGCGGTGTTTTGACTGTCACATCAACCTCACGGACAAGTGCTTCAGCCGCGAGGGCAAGCTCTTCTGCCGGGATGACTTCTTCAGGTAATGTCTACCGTCCTCACTGCGCGGTCACTCACAACCATGCGTGTGATTCGCAGTCTACAGACACTTCTCCCCTTCGAAGTCGTACTTTTACATGTTTTGCAGCGACCCATACCCGAGAGGCATTCTGCGCGTGTGTGGTTGTGCATCGTCAAGCTGCACACGGTTCGTCCTCCGGGTCAGCGCGTGCCTGCGAAATGTTCATCAGCTGCTGACCTCAGATCCGAATCTGACCGTACATATTTCTTGCTGCGGTAATCGCTGTTAACCGCAAATCCTCCATTCATCTTACCGCGAAGTGTGAGGAGCACGACGTGGCTTGACCTAGAACCGCTCGCCAGCCTCAGATCAGTGCTGGACCTACCCATCGGCGTGCGGTGCAGCCTGCGGGCCGGGTGCACGCAGTCCGTCCGCTAGTGATTGACAGTCTGGGCGTGACCTCGATGTAAGCCGGTGGGAAGCCACCGCGGCCGCTCGGCACCGGCCCTTCGTCCGCTGCTCGAGGGAGGCACGGGTCCGCGGGGGCGGCCCGGCTCGGCCGGCGCGGCACCAGGCGGGAGCCGAGCCGGCCGGGGCCGCAGGCGGCGAGGGGTGCCTCCCACCAGGCGGGCGTAACCGCACCGACTCCGTTACTGGGGTGTAGACTGTTGCCATGCCCTCCTATGCGTGAAAGGTAGCGGAAAGGTAACCCGAGGGACCCGAATGCTACTGAGGTCTTACCCCCAACTGACGTTAGCGGGGGTCCGCCTTCAGTACGACACCAAACTGAGCGGGGGGCGGGGGGGGGGGGGGCACACAGACGGTAGCTCCGAAGCGCAGAGCACGAGCAGCACCACTCGAAATAATTCGATGCTATTCCAAGCGCGTTCAAGTGGACTTCAACACGCAACAGCTTGCGCCGGTAACGCGATGAGCGCACGCCGTGACACGCGATGCTATATTACTCAAGCTCTGGAAGTTTGGCGCGGTGACAATCATGCTTTCGATACCTCTTAATTTATTTTGAGGCCCTCGTAAATGAAAGACTAATGTGAAATGCGCCAACTGCTGACAGTGGAGTCGCTGAGGGCCTCGCAAGTCGCCTGACTCGTTTCCGGTGTGTGGGCTCGGTCCGAGCTGCTGACGGCTGTGATAGCGAGCACGACACGGAACATTCCGAGCGTGGGCCGCCGGACTCTGAATGAATCACGGGCGTGATTCGGAACCACAACCGAACCTCGCTGGCGAGGCACAACACGGCCGAGCCGAATCAACAGCGGGGCATGCCTGTCCGGTGACATATCTCAGGCCATGTACGCCGTACGTGACCGGCGCCCATTCACGACCGGCGGTGCGTGCCAAGGAGCCCGAGTCGCGACGAGCGCTCGCTTGCTGTGCAGCCCAGGTGACTGGCGGCCGGTCCTCGGCTACAAGCCGGGTCTCCCATAGCTCGGGTGACATCCGAGTGCCGGGCAGCCGAGCGCGTGGCTCCAAACTCCGATCGGCGGCACACGCTTCATCGGAGAAAACGGGACGTGTGAGCCGGCGATGTTCGGGCCGATCTACTCATGACACATGCAACTGGAGCTTGATGTGTTGCTGATAGACGAGCGCACGCCCTCCGCCGATTTATTTGCCGTCGCTCAACGTTCGCGGCAGGTGCGTTTTTCTCGCCTCCGCTGGACGGGAATCCCCTCGATCTCGTCCGCTATCTACAAAACTTAACATGCTAAGCCAAGTCCAATACGGCCTCAGAAGGCCCGCTGAGAACCGCATCAGGCCATGGCATTTCATATCGGCTGAAGTGACCATTCATAGGTTAAAGCACGTCAACGGGGGTGTGAATTTCGACCTGTTTTGTCTCCAGAGCTGTGTGTGCCGTGAGAGCGGAGAAGGGGCTGTCACACACTCCCCTGCACACATATTCTTGCACCGCCAGCAAGCCGCTGGTGGGTGTGACCTGTCATATATTGGGTCCGCTCACTCGGCCCAGTCCGTGTGAACCCAGGCCCCACTCTGTTATCTCAACCATTATGCATGGCTAGGACTTGTGCACAATGCTGCATATGCATGGCACAACCAAACAAAAGACGATGGATGACCGTTGCCGCATTGTGTCAACTGTCAGGTAATGTGATGCAAAATATGGCAAACTTGATCGAAGAGGTAAATTTCTATCATCAATATTTCTTCTTTTGGCATATTTTACCGGGGCTGTTTTTTCGATGGCCGCACCTTACCGAGTTTTGGAATCGGATTGCCACGCTTTATGGTAGGATACAGGAAATCAACAATGGGAAGTCCTTTAAAATGCATTGCCGCCGACTGACGTACATGGACTGGAACCCAGAATGTGATCGACGAGACCGGCGAAAGGCCAGCCAGCACTTGCGGTCGATACCGTAGGGAACGTCTTCAAATCTCCGCAAAAGTTATAAAATGTTGAAAGTTGAATCGCTGAAAAGTTGCGCTCCATGCAATTTGTGCTTAAAAATGAAGCTATAGAAACTTTGTGTTCTAAGAGGAGCGTTGTGCGGCGATGGTTGAGATGTACTGAATTAACCATTGTTTCAAGCTTATGGACCAATTTCTTACTTTCCATCCCGAAATATTGTGTCAAAATGACCAAGTCTAAAGCGTTTAGTAACTCTCCAACGTGCCAGTGTTCCAGCTTCAGCCGTGTCGTTATTCCACCTTCAACCAAGACGGCGCGAGGCACAACAAAGCAAGCACGGCTGGCAGGCCGCGTCTACTTACCGTCATGGTTAACACGTCACGGTTGACACGTCACGGTTGACACGTCACGGTTGACACGTCACGGTTGATACGTCACGGTTGTCACGTCACGGTTGATGTGTGCAAAGATCCGCAGCGTCCTGGAAGCTGCAGTACGTTTTCTGGCGTTGTTGCATACATCCGTGTGTGCAGTGCGGATCGTTGCCATGGCCATTTACAGGCATGCGCACAACATTTTGGTAACGAACGGGCCCGACTTTGAGCCCCGCCGACGGGTGATCAGGTGGGGCTGCAGCCACGCGTTTTTCGCTTTGCCTTGGAATTCTTCGAAGTTGTGTTTCGATATAATGATGATATGGTGCAATGTTTTGACTTTATGAAATTAAGCACCGTTCAAGGCGCCTCAATTCCATATTTTTTTTAATGTGCATTTCAGGACCATTTGGACGTCGTCGCTCGATTTCCTTCTCAACGTCCGGGGCCCAGCCTTTGCCGAGGCCTGGACTCGAACCCGCTCGCTGCACCTCGTGTGTGCCTCTGGGTGCCCCAAGCTCAACGCGTCCAGTTCGGCTCGCGGGCGTCGGTGCCGGGTTTGCCGAGCGCCCCCCGGCCGGTCTCGGAGTCCCGCGCGGATCCCGCCGGTCGGGGTCCCGCGCGCCACGAGGATCTCCGCCGGTCAGCGTGCGGCCAACGCCGCGCCTCTGCAGGCGCCGTCCACGAGCTGCTTTACACCTGTGGCCGACTGATGGCACTCACATGGCTAGCTGGCATTCACACGCGTGGCGGATTGATGGGCGTCGGATTGATGAACCGCCATCACCGACGAGCTTTCGGCATCTACGGTCGGCCCGGTGTGATGTTGGCTTTTTGTTCTGGGAGCGACATTTCTCCGGCTATTGATTGGAAAACATGCTTGGGAGACGGGAACACGAATCGGTGGCCAATTTGTTCATGACGCAAGCCGTGAAAGATCTAAGCCTCTGGGACCTGTGGGACAAGTCTACGAGGCTGTTATTATGGTACGAAGCTTTATCAGGCGACCACTGAGACACACTAGTTCACCAACTGCGCTCTTGTCGTTCGGCCAAGTTAGCCGACGGGACTTCTGGTCTGTCCGTGCCGATTCGAGGCAGAGCCTTCCAGTCAGTCCGTGCCAAGTTTGTCTTCCAGCCGAAACTTTCAGAAATTGGCGCATGGATTCAACGTGTGGAAGCTTTCCGCTGGTGGGCCGACACGCGGACAGTGCTGGTTCAAGGCGTCTTGTCAGCATCCAGCGTCACTGAATCTCAGACCACTGCGCGGGCAAAGTGGACTGCATACTGAACTGCGAGCTGGATGAACCGCTCGGGAGCAGTGTGCTTCGTGCATAACTGCAGTCTGGGCTGCAGCCTGGATGAAGCTCCTGGACGCTCGGAGCAGTAATTTTGGACTTAATGGACTGCCGGGAGTACCGGATTGCAGACTGACTGGATGAACCGGCTGGCAGCAGTGGTCCGCCAGCGTGGCCCGGACCGGCTCCGGCGGACCAGCCTCCTCCAGCTGGCAGCGTCTTCCCCAGCGGCGCTGGTCCACCAGCGCGGCCCGGACCGACTCCGGCGGACCAGCCTCCTCCCGCTGGCAGCGCTTCCCCAGCGGCGCTGGTCCACCAGCGCGGCCCGGACCGACTCCGGCGGACCAGCCTCCTACCGCTGGCAGCGTCTTCCCCAGAGGCCAGAGCGGCCGTCGTTCGTGTCCAGTCCCAGTTAGGGTGTGCCGACGGCAGCTCGTATTTCAGCGGCGCGGGAGGCCAGCTCTCGCGGCCGCCGCTGCCGTGTCCTCCGGCCGTAGCGGACTGAAGCGACCCAGGCATGGCACAGTCGAGCCGTGCCGTCGGCGTCACCCTGCGGCCTCCTCCGCTCGTAACGGCGTCACGGCGGCCCGCCAGCGTAGCCCCGTTTCTTTGGGAGTTCCCCTGCCTCGTTATGCTGGGAGAGGGCGCTATACTGGTCTGGTGTTGTGTTGCCACATTGAGGATGGCTGTGGAGGTGTGGCGCATGCAACGCATCTGAAGGCAACCGCGCTGTGAATGCGCTGCCTGGTACTGAGCGTCATGCCGACCGAGCTGGTAACGCACCAGTCGCGTGTGTGTCGGCTAATGCCGTGAACCAGCGAGTGCACACAGCAGTGTTTTTTCTCTTTTAAAGAACTTTAAGAGCTTTATCTCCTCTGTATCTGAATCTGTATCTGTTAAAGGTTTTAATACCATTGCTATGTCTTGCCAAGTTGCTAGGTCTTTATGATCTTCA